CACATAACTGTCTCAAGCGGAACCCGTCTACGGTTTCCAGGGTCTTCACGACTTCCTCTACGACTGGGTATAGCCCCATCCTATAATATATATTACAAAAGATATTTTAATTGGGTTTCATTTAACCTTCGATTAATGTACTTCAAATTGATAATACTTAGATTAACGTGCGTGTAAAAAAGCGGGGTCTTAGCTCTAAGTCCATTAAGGAGACGAACCCCATCAAGGCTTGCTAAAGGTTCGTTTCCCGATACCTTAGTAATACGACAACGTTGGTTATTACACCTGTCTTCCCAACCTATCACCATATCATCTGTTTCTGAGCGTCGTAAGCAGTCCCCTTACCGAGGATGTTGGAACGCGTTTGCGTCTGCGCACCCAACAGCGCCCACACGTACGTTCGAATCGAGTCGTTCAACCTGATTACACGGGCACGAGTGAACCCTCTCGACGTGTCCAACATGATTTTTTTCCAGTCATCCGCTGCACCCTGCTCGAACCTCCAGACTCGGTAATCCTTGCTGTTGTCGAAAGCCATGTAACGGTCATCCAACTCGTTTGTTGTGAGGTGATGATACGACTTGTAACCCCATTCTTTCATCTTCTCGCTGGCATCCACGAGGGGCATGTTGTGAACGATGGGGATACCCACCCCGTGGTTCGGCCCCGGCAAACGCCAATCCGTCTTCGGGTTTAGTTCGAATTCGTTGCAAATCGTTAAGTAGGCCCGTCTATCGTACTGGTTGTTTACTGTGTTTCACACCTTGTCCTGTGGGAGCGGGGCGCTGATCTCATTGAGGATACGTCTGATCTGGTAGTACACGTGGAACGTGAACACAGACTGACTCAGCGGTCCACGCCGAGTGTCGGTCAATGTCACACCACACCCCGTTGTAGCGCACCACACGGCGAAGTTGAGTTGATTCTGCCAGAACTGCATCGGGTTGTTGAACCAAGCATGAACTACCTTAGCGTTAGTCGCCGAAAACCTATACTGATCGAACACATCTATGAACTGGGCGTCGAAATACAGCCCATCAGCGACCACGATCTTGTGTGGGAAATCTATATCCAATTTAGGGTAAAACACTCCAGGGGAGTACATTTTAAAACTATTATATAATGAGCATATATACTCTAACATGCACATAACACTTCCAGGAATAACGAGCGGCGAGGCTGTTCAGCTGATGCACGCGATCGATAACACGTCGGGTCAACTCGAAGTCGCACTCTGCGATATCACCTACCTACCGCGATGGACTAACATCAACACCAGCAACAATAAGCTGTTCGTCAGTGGAGCTCGCAGCCAGATAACTGACGGCTACTACAGCGTGTGCTCGCTAAGCGACGAGGTATTCAAGCCCCTGGGAGCCGAACTCAAGATGAACGACTCAAACGGCACAGTGGTGTTAATCAACAACGGAAGAAACTCCTTGAGGCTCGGTCGGCCATTGGCTAGGACACTAGGTATGCCGCCCGACGAGGTAAAACCCACAACTACCGTCACAGGCACGAAGTTACCCGACCTAGTACCGTACCGAGAGCTGTGCATTCATCTCGGCCAGGTGAGCACAACGGACAACATTCAAGGGGGTCACCCTTCCACGATACTGAGAGCAGTACCCGTGAAAGCGGAGAAATGCAACGACGGTAGAACCGAAGTCGTTTTCACAGCTGACGGCAGTATAAGAGGTTAACCGGGGCAACATCCCTGAGCTGATAATATCGGGTGTTAGATATAAATCATAATCCCGTGAACATAGGATACCTCAGCATAACGCTTCACATAAAATCACCAGCGCACAAGGCCCCGGGATGAGGTTGAAAGAATGCATCAATGCGGGGATCTCCGACCTCGGGGACACACGCGGTCTCGACGACCCGGAATAGATGGTAAATTATGCGCCTTGCAACTGAAAAACAACATTTACAAACGCGTTTAAGTCCCCTCCGGTGGAGCCCTAGGTGATATAGTAGATACCTAAAGAGCGGCCGTCAACACTCGGTACGCCCTAGTCAACACCGGTGATGATAAATGGATAATATACCCATCGTTCGGGGCAAACTGTTCGACTTAGAAGATGTTGAGAGCACTACCGTCGCCCGAAACAAGCCATATACGCTCGTCTTCACCGAAGATGACAAGTGGGTGTTCTTACCCGCTAAAGGCGACTGGTTTCTCAATATTAATCTCGGCTCCCCTTACGTGTTCACGGATAACAAAGACAACTACCTAAACAAAGTCGTGAACAACGGAACCCTGCTCGCGGCTTAAGTCCCGGTTCAGAGGCGTAGCGTAGTCATCAGCCCAGTCGCCAGTATGGCAGCCCACATGCTATTGAGTAAACCGGGAGTGCCAGACGTGACATTGCAGTTGGTGTCTGAATTTGCTGGCGTGGTCAACGTCCTGGCGAGCCTACCGGAGAACGCCACTCTGATCATCAAAGTCTACCTAGGGGAACCATCGCGGGATGAGGTCGAAATCGTGAAAGGGATCAAACTCGGGAGGGCGAAACGACACCAGTATCACGTTTGCACCATTTGCGTGCGGGTGGGTGCCGACTCCAAAACCAGTCTGCAGGGAGTCACCGTGATTGTGGAAGACACGATATCACTAACCAAGATCTTCCTACCCGACAACATACACTTCATGGGGGTGAAGTGCACCCCTGAACTATTATCAGAAAAACAGTTGGAAATTATCTCGTAATAGCATTATAGCAATGACCAGTCATCACCCAAACGCCACACTTAACGATCTAGGGGACACGGAGGGATTCGATCAGCCTGGTGAGGAAGGTGGCTCATACGTCATACACTTCAAAGACAACGTGTATAGGCGGGCGGCAATGGCCGATCATCTACCCAAAATCACACTCGGGGACCTAGGAGGCAGAAGGGGGTTCGATCAGCCTGGTGAGGACGGCACCTCGTACGTCTCTGTCCTTAAGAAAAGGCGTGTACGTGCGGCAGCGTCTGCCAGACGACTTTATAAAGCCCAAATGGTTGATCAACATGACCCTCACCGCACCTTATATCTCGTTAAACAAAGATAGGGAGGTCTCCGAAATTAGGAACAACGGCATCTTGCTTGGGGTTTTCGTTCCGAACTATAGGATAAGTACTCAGCTAACATGGGATCACATGAGTAACATGTTAGTTGTTTCAGGTTGGGAGGATGAGTTAAGGTTTGACGTCCCCGATACCCAATTGGCCGTTATGACTGTGGAAACAGGCTCCACACTCACCATAGAAGTCTACCTCGGATCGGTTCGTAATAATACAGAACGGCAACTTTTACCCGGGGTGACAATACGCTGGGGCGTCACAGGCAGGCACCAACGTTGCCGTATCATCATACGACCGGACCCCTCAACGGGTTCTATAGTCCCCTCAGTAAGATGCCCCCATGATGTTCATGTAGACACAGAGTTACCTATTAGCCTCTCGCCTATTTCCCTGTACGATGATCTAAACCTTATAAGCCTCAAATACACTGTGCAAGAATTAAATGTCGTACGATTTAAAGATCTTTTTTAGAATATATTATATGCACACAGGATGGGGCTGTACCCAGTCGTGGAGGAAGTCGCGAAGACACTGGAAACCATAGACGGGTTCCGCTTGAGACAGTTATGTGATGTAAAACGCCAACTAGAACAAGACCGTGACACTCGGAAAGCACTATATAAGAAGTACCATAGGGCTTTCAATGCCGTGGACGGGACTGATACTGCCCTTATGGCAACCAGCATGGGAATAGGGGCGGCAGGTGTTGGGTTGTTAGCTACCATCGTGGCTGCACCTATAGTGCTAGGCATTGAAACAACAGCTGGGGTGACAGGGGTGTTAGGGTTGGTGCTTAAGTTTGCATCACGCAGACTGCATCGTAAGGCATTGAAACACGACGAGATCAGGGTTCTGGCTGAAGCAAAACTGAACACGGTAAGTGAGCGTATTTCAGCAGCACTCACTGACAGTAAGATCTCGGAGGAGGAGTTTCGCTCAATCCTCTCTGAACTCACAAAATATAACAAAATGAAACAAGAGATTCGATCCAAGTCTCGTAAGTCTGCTATCAGCGAAGACGAGAAAAAAAAGTACATAGAACAGGGGGTACGAAAAGCCCAGCAAGCCTTTATTACGAACACCAAAGAGATCATAGGCAATTCACATTAAACTGTTTCATCGAGGTCAACACATCATAGCGGCACAATAGTGCCACGTGGAGCCGGGGAGTTAACTGGGGATTCAAAAGTAGTAGATACAATGGTGGCGAGATCTAAGGGCCTAACAAAAGCTTTATTTGTGAAATAAGGCTTTGCAGAGGCTTTTGTTGGACTTGATCCCGGACTATCATTATATATACTACTGACGTTAGTTGCCGTGTTGCGATCGATGTGCTTAGGTGCACAGAATTACCAGACGGCATTGTACTGATGACAGACGTCTCCGTCAATCAGAGCCTACCCAACATATTTAGCACCAACGATGTGGCCAACCCAATGTATCTAGCGCCACGATGAACGGTAACCCTGGTCAAAAAGTTGTCCCGTAGTAGAGCAAGTGAAACAATGTACTACAAGACTAACTGGTACACAGTTAATCTATAAGTGGTACGTATTGTTTGAATCTCCTGTTATGAAGCCCCTGCCCCCTGCTTGCACTGCAATTTAACCTAGTTTTCCTACACATATATACATAACATATAGTGAGTGCTTTAAGTGATTCTGAACTTCTGATGGGTAGTATATGAAGATTAAGTTCTCGATGCAGCAATTGTTGTTTATGAGGTGACCAATGAAATTCCTGAATTATCTGAAAACAAAGTAGCAATTGTCAAATGCTTTCCAGCATGAGTGTCTGGAGAAAGAAAGCACAAATTTCTGAAGAAGTGAAGGTTATTCTTTGAAGGGAAGGCAGAATTTGCAATCTTCCACCTCTTTCCATGTTTCTCAGTACAAGGCTGTTGCACCACTAAAGCACTGACTTACTTATCTTTCAGGTCATTCTTGGATCCCTTCTCCGGAAAGGTGATTGAAATAGCTTCAAATATGATATCTGGTGGGTGTGTGTTGTCAGTGGTGGATGCTGAGCCAGCGGTGAGTGGGGAGTCCTTTGGTGTCTCATCTACAAAAAGATATATGCTGTATGTTTTCCACATGACACCAGATGGACATGCCCCCTTTCCATCTATAAATTGACTTTCACTATGTGTGTCTTTATTGGAGAGTGAACCTTCATAGAGTGACGGTCAAAATGTATGAACACTGGAGCTTGCAATGGTGTTCTTTACTGTGAGAAGAAAGTTGGTGGCTCAAGGTGACAAGTTCTTGAGTTGTATGAGTATTGCAGAGGCTGATGAAACCACTACTGTGCATGAGGTTCTGAAGGAACTCTCAGCTGGATGACTCTAGCATGAGAATGAAATTGAAGTACAATATTTCAGGTCTGGAAATTGTCCTGACATTTATACACAGGAATATCATTATGTCTGCAGTCAACATGGTCAACTGGTAGCAGTGAACAGCAGTTGTGGTGATCATAACAGATCCTTGATTTGATTGTGTGTTCAAAGCACTTTAGTTACATTTATTCTAATGACATAATTAGTTTTCATTTTGTCTAAGGAGGTATAAGAGAACAGATGATAGAATCTCAGAACTACTGTACATGATGTTCATAACATCAGATGTTTGTTGAACAGGTGATTTATGATATTGAATGTACAACATCGACATGTTTGCATCAGTATTTCAAAGATGAAATAACATCAAGTTGTGTAGGCCAGGTGAAATGAGAGGTTCCTAGTTTTTTTCAAGAAACTTTTGGCTCATTATGCACAAACTATGAATGTTAGTTACACCAAATATTATGGTCGTATAACATGATATGTAAATAAGTGGGCAGTACTGTTGATATATGTTTGATTTTTTACAATTTGCTGATAACTTTGGTAATAAATGGTTCTTTCAAATATGTTCGCTCATAAAGATTCTCAACAACCTGTAGAGGTTGCTGATTCTTTGAAGAGTCCTCCTTGGGGTACTTATTAGCATTTTTATGTCCATTAAAAATTCATATGACAGTTGTAACAATATTTTGGATAAAATATTTACAAAACAAATTCTTTTTTTGCCTTGCTCGACCACCCTTGCAGAGCCTCACCTTGTCTACAGCCAAGAGAAGGTAACTAACTCTAACCTCGCTCATCACTTTCAATGCTGTCGTTCACATAGTGAAGACCTAGTTTGTTGTTTAGCAAATATTTTATTCAAAACATTGTTTTAATGGACATGATAATGCTAATAAGTACCCCAAGGGGGACCCCTTCTGAAAAAGAATCCTTTTTTTCAATTGTTCAATTGAAGTCTTTTGTATATGCATTTATAGAGTCAAGTGTATTGTGATATTAAAGTAAATTAAAGGCCTTGATTGATCAGTTTTAAAAATATTCCAAGACAGTATTCCAAAATGCCATTTATTTTGTTATTTTACTTTCAGAAATGTTTCATTATTAAATGTAATGACTAAAATTGATATTTTATACTTATCCTGACTCATGCTAAATGCTTGTCTCCTTCTTGCGAATGATAGTGGAACACTTGAAATCCCTTGAAGTTCCCTTCTAAAAAGCAGACGTAAAATCACTACTCACCCACGAGTTACCTCCCTTGCCCCTTTGGCGCCCTTTTGGTCACCTGACTGGCCATGTTTTGTCACTCTCTCCGTATGTATGCCCGACACCCGGATTTACAGGGAAATCCAGAGTGCCATAAGAGGGGAGGTTGGGGGGGCTGACCTCATGAGTCAGGATAAGTTTAAAATATCAATTTTAGTCAGAAAATTACATATTTTTCCATATCCTGACTCAAACTACAACTTGTCAGATTTCTTCCGAAACTTCTCCTGACATTTTCGTGTGGATTTTAGATATACTAATGTTCCATTAGTTATCTATTGTAACTCCATCTCAAGTGGAGATGCGACCCTTCTTCATGTACTAGTATGTCCTATACAAGTACAGGGTCTATCACTCATGCTAGAGATTTTTCTCAGCGCCTTTGAGGAACCGTTACTTGTTGTGCTACAACAAGTGGCCCAAACTGGTGAATGCCTGAGACGTCTTCAGTGGCAATGTCTCTGAGGTAGTGGTTGGCAAACACTGTGTCTGATTTCCAAAAGCAGCCCTCCATTATTGTTGTGATCGAGCATTTTCCATGCAGAGCAATAGTAGACACCAGGGCTCTGACTTCGTGGGGACTGGAGGCTCGTGGAGGCTCAAGTCCTGCTGCTTTGTAGGCCCTTAGTATAACGGCTCTCATCCATATCGATATCGTTGTCCGTGAGACTTCCGTGGGCGTCTCAGTAGATAAGGGGATGAATAGGCTCTTGAATTTTCGTCTCCTTGTTTTTGTCCTTTGTAGGTAGACTTTTAGTTCTCTGACAGGGCATAAGGATAGATCTTGTGTATCCTGTGGCCCAAGGACTGTAGAGAGTGCTGGGATGTGGAACTGTCTGTCAGGCTGGCCGGCAGTTGGTTCTTGGCAATAAAATCCCATCTCAGTCCTAGATGTACGATGTCACGATGTCTTGATTCAAATCGTGTTCGTTCAAAGTCCAGGGCATGTATTTCAGACATCTGTGCTGCTGTTGCTAGGGCGATCAGGAACAGCGTTTTCTGAGTCAGTAGTTCAAAGGATGTCCGTTCTAGAGGCTCGTAGGCATCACTGGTGAGATGTAGAACTATGTTGAGATCTCTGGCAGGAGCCTTGAATTTCTTTTGTTGGTCTTCCAACTTGAATGAGCGTAGTAGTGCCAGTATCTCTGGTACTTTGGTCAGCTTGACACCCTTCTTCATGGTGATAACTGTGCTGAGAGCAGCCAGGTACGTTGAGAGTGTTGAACCTTTTAAGTGTCTCGTCTGTCGCAGATGACACAGGTATTCCGCCACTTGAGGATGGGTTGCTTTTACCGCTGTAAAGCCTTTCCTCGTTGCATACTGTTCAAATCTCTGCCACTAGCGTCGTACAAGTTGCGAGTTGATCTGCGTAGAGCTAGTGTCACTGCTTTCGCTGCTCTGGCGGAGTACCCTCTAGTCTTCAGGCAAGCTTTGATACGCTCCACGTGTGTAGCTGGAAAAATGCCGGATTCCCGTGAGCTTGCTTGGTGTGTGGATGGACGAGCAGGTTTGACCACTCTGGTAGTTTCAGGGTTGGACTTCCGAGTTCTTGTATGAGGACGGGAAACAATAACCTTGCTGGCCAATAGGGCGCGACCAAAATCAGTTGCAGCGTTGTCGTCTGCTTGATTTTCTGTATTACTTGTGATAGTAGTGCTGGAGGTGGAAACGCATAAGTGTTTAGCCTTGAGATGCTTAAAGCGTCTGTTGCCCATGCCTGAGGATCCGGAATCGGAGAGACGAATGTTGGTAGGTGCTTGTTGAACTTTGCTGCAAACAGGTCTATCAGTGGAGATCCTGTTGTCTATATGATGAACCGGAATGCTTCTGGGTGTAACATCCACTCTGTCGGGGATGGTTGAAGTGGACGAGATAGGGCGTCTGCTATGACATTCTTTGCTCCTGGAATGTGGCATGCCTTCATGTAGATGTTCAGGTCGTCGACGATGCTGAACAGGAGAAAGCTGAGTTGTACCAGTCTTGTTGAACTTGTTGATCCTGGTTTGTTGATGTAGAACGCTACTGTGGAGTTGTCCGTGTGGACCATGAGCCTTGCGTTCTTTAGTACGCTGGACCAGTGTTGTAAAGCGTTGATCACTGCTTTCATCTCCAACAGTTTGATGTGCAGACTCTGATCCTGACTCGACCACTTCCCTGCTGCCACTTCGTTGTCCAGGTGGGCACCCCATCCTTTAGTCGATGGATCTACGTAGAGATGAGTGCTGCAAACCGGCTCTGACAAAAAGGTTCCTCCGCAAACATTCGACTTCCGAGTCCACCATAGGAGCTATGGTTTCAGGCTGTCAGGTAGAATCAGCGGATCCAGACTGTCGAAATGGGGTTCACAATATTTGTAGTGGGCGCAGTTGAAGTCTCCTTCTGCGAGTCATGTCTTGAGCTGAGGTGAGTAGACCGCGCATGCTTTGCCAAGCACGTAGTGTCAACGGAGAGAGCATTGCTTGAGATATCATATGTTGTATGTTGACCCAACGATCCTCTGGGACGACTATGCGATTCACCAGCGTGATGAGTCGTATTCCCAGAAATTGAAGATCCTGTTTCGGCTCCAGTTCCGACTTGAGGAGATTTACCAGCCATCCTAACTGAGTGAGAAGCCTGATGGTGAAGTCTAGTTGCAGTCTGAGTTGACTGGGATCTTGATGAACTTGAATTCTGTCGTCCAGGTAGAACGCACTGCGTAGACCTCGACGATGTAGATATGTGACGATGGGCTTGATCACTCGAGTTAACAACCAGGGGGCCGACGATATTCCAAACAGTAGAACCTTCCACTGGAAATGATGTCCGTTGAAAAGGAATCTTAGGTATTTCCTTGAGTCTTGATGTATCGGGATGTGTAGGTACGCATCTTGTAGATCTATGCTGGCGAGGTAGTCTGATGGACGAACGAGATGTCGGAGCTGAGGAAGATGTATCATTTTGAATTTTGCTGGTCTGCAAAGGTACTCCTGGTTGAACTTCCTCATGTTGTAGATGAGCCGAAACTTCTCCTTGGAATTCTTCTTCGGTACCAGGAAAATTGGGGAGTAAAAACCGGGCGTGATGAGACCTTGATATATCTCTTCTACTCCATCTTTGTCGAGTAGAGTCTTGATTGCGGCTGCGTATCTGAAAGCCATCGGGTTGCTTGTAAGCAGCAGAGTGGCTTCCAACTGTATCTTGTACCCCCTGCGTAGTATCTGGGATACGTAGTTGTCCTGTAGTATTCCCCAATTCTCCCAGTACCGTTGAAGACGTCCACCCACTGTCGAAGATTGTACAGGAACGGCTGGGGGTGGAAGACTCCAGTCGTTTCAAACCTGTCCTTCAGCGCTTGGTTCTCCTGGCACCCCTGGGTGCTTGGCCTCTTCCGGGGGGTTTTCTGGGGACTCCGGTTGGGCAACGAAAAGAACCTCTTCCTCCTCTTGAGCTGAAATACTTCTTTTCTCTGGCTCTCTGGACTCCTGCAAACTTGGATTTGTTGGATTAGCGCTGGGACGTCTGGCGAATCACATTTGCCAAGTTATCTATGGACTTTATCATCATGACCTCCCTTGATTCGTGTCTTTGGCGACTTCTTCAATCCCTCCTCCGAAGATGGATGATGCTGACCATGGGGCTCTGTATAAGGACTTGGTGAACCGCTCACTCCAGGTGCACGATGACAATAATCCTTGTCTCCTCAGGAGATTCAGGCCCGCTGATGTGGATGCTAGATGCTCCGGCATAAATTGGTGGTCCTTTTTCTGGATCAGTAGCGTATAATATATCATCTGGTCCTCTTCGTCGGTGAAGTTCTTAAACTTTGAGATGAGTGTTTCGTTGACAGCCCTAGATCTGGCTAGTCCGAACAAGGTACGTCTAGTAGTCGTATCCAGTTGGGACAACTTTTTGTCGTCTATCTTGTAATTCCTATAGCGGGAGTCGTTGATGATCTTGTAGTCTTCATCAATCTCTGGTGCCTTCAGGAAGGGTTCCATGTGATGTAAGGGGAATTTCCTGGTGTTGAACGTCGGAATATGCTGGTTCTGGAACTTGGTAGCCTTATAAAGGCTGAGCTGAACCTGTCCTGTACTTGGGAGATCGGGTCGATAGGCGGAAAGGTGAGTGTGTCGAAATCAACGTTGGACATCTTGTATGTAAACGCTTCGTCTGTGTCCTTGGAAGGTTATGCTAGGTCCAGGCCATTAGCAATCCATGAGGTTACTTCTGTATCGGAGAATATGACTTCACCTTCTTCCTCTGATTTAGACATGTCCTGCTCTGATGATCCACGACAACGTGAGTCTCTGTGTGAAGATCTGTATGTTGAACTGCGCGCAGGTTCCCGATCCCGATGTGACCGTGTATCCTTCCTGGAGTTTTGCGACGTTTCTCTAGGCCTTCATGAAGGTTGATTCTTAGACGTAGTCTCCCCTCTGTAAGATGTGGAGTGCCTGCGCGCAGGTTCCCGATGTGCGTCTGAGTCCGATGGTGATGACGACCCGTATCTACGTCTGTAGGGTTCAGGAGAACGCTTCGAACTGCTTCTGTGTGGAGAATCCTTCAGGGACGTCTAAGGCTGAGCTGACGTTGGTGTCCAGGCCCCTAACTTCAGATGGGGAAGATCGTCGGGTGCGTGAGCCTTCACACAGGCTTCCCTCTTCTTCCAAGTGCGTTGGAGAGACTGCTGAATCTTCACGCAGGCTAGTAGTCATCATAGTGGTCTTCATAGCAGCTTTCTCTTGCGCAAAGCGACGTTCCATCATCGACATCATCTGGTCTGTAAACTGTTGCATGAACAGTCCCGGGTTGAAGTTCTGCGATGTCTAAAGAGACTGCTGCAGGAATGATGATGCTTCTGACAACGATGAGGCGTCTTCTAAGGCACACTGCACTTGGGAAGAGTTGACGCTGCTGCTGTCTCTGGTACCCGATGTCTGCGTTGATAGAAGGTCTTCTGTCAATGTCTGTGCTGATAAAGTTGCCGATGTAGATGTAGAAGCAGGCTTCGTCTTCTTGCTGACGACTGTGACTTCAGGTATGAGGATGGGGGGATCATCATACACGTCTGCTTCTTCCGGAGGTACAATCTCAGCAGAAAAAGATCTCGTCTTCTGCGTAGAGCTGTATAGAGGTTTCGACGAAGTCTTAGGGGTAGTAGCCTTCTTCTTCTGCGTTGAAAATCTAGTCTTCTTCGTCTGCGAAGAGGTCAGCTCCGTTGACGATGATCTCTTATTAGCTCCAGGGTTCATCACTGGCACAGCGACCTGCCCAGTAAAACGCTCGGCAATTCACTGGAATTATGAACATCGGCAGCAGTAGTTAACACAGAGTTATCAGCGCAATCACTCGATTTAGACATGACTTGTGAATAGCTTCTTACCCAGTCCTTTGCACGTCTATGAATGGAAAAAAGGTATTTATTAAATTCAAAAGTGGTTAAATCCAGACAATGTTTACAGCGAGAGCTGAAAGAACATGAAGTAGTGCAATCAGGACATAATAAATGTGGGCCAGCCGCAGACAGTCGGTACCTACAACAAACACAAGTTTTCATCAAATGTAAACACGAAGAAAAAACATGTCAAACAACGTATAATTTAGATCAAATTTCAAACCATATAGTAGAATACTGACTGACTGACTGAGTTTGGTTTTACGCCGCTTTTATCAATATTCCAGCTACATCACCCCGGGGGACACCAGTAGAATACAATCCTAAAAGCCGTATACAGCAATACTTTTGATGTAAGGTCCAAAATAGAAAAGGATATGTGCCGTATAGGGACCCAGGTGCTCTCACAACCGTCCTCAAGGGGAAGAAGGAGAGAGTGACAAAACATGGCCGGTCAGGTTACCAAAAGGGCGCAAAAGGGGCAAGGGAGGTAACTCGTGGGTGAATAGTGATTTTACGTCCGCTTTTAAGAAGGGAACTTCAAGGGATTTCAAGTGTTCCACTATCATTTGCAAGGAGAGGGAGATAAGCATTTAGCATGAGTCTGGATAAGGAAAAATAACACTTTTTATTGTGTTGTGTTAAAACACAACACAATAAAAAGTGTTTTAATAATGAAACATTTCCATGATCACAAATTTTAGTGACAATGTAAAAGTACTTATTCATGTGAAATAAAGACAATACGAGACATATGTGATTTAACAATATATGCATTGGCATATAACGAAGTCTAGCTTCATCATATCCCTGCATGGTATACTGGAGCAATGCTTACCTGGGTGGTATAGGCTGGAACTAGGATCCAATTCATCAACATCAGGGTAGGCTACAGCAAGGGCCTTCACCAGTTCCACAAACAGAGCATCACTGATGAAGTTACTGTCCCGGTCTCCATGCACCTTTCCATCATAGTTTCTCAGAAGTTCCTCAATAAAGGATCCATCTTGTTCTAGAATGTCATCTCCCATGTAGGGTATATTGTGCAACACAGTTTCATCTTCCACCTGCAACACCCAACACAAAAACTAGAGCCCCTGCACTTTAGCTTACCTCCATATCTACATTTAAAATATCACCACAAATCAACAATAGCTATCATTGTTAATAATTCAAAGAATAGTTTCTTCATTAAATTATTGCCATAGATTCTGAATTTTGCCCATCATCACGCTATAAGACTTAAGGTTTTAAACATAAATTATCCTTCCTCTCAACTATCCATAAATAATTGTGACACTAACAGTACCTCATTAGCACGCCTCTTACAAAGGTGGGATAAACCCTCTTCTTTCCAATATTTTCCAGAAGTAGCAGAAAAAACAAGGAAGTGGGTGGACTACTCATAAAGTAATAGACGTAGTAGTTTTCAAATTAATTGGTAACTATTGTTTGATTATAATAAGACAAAAATCTCTATATAATAACACAGCCAGAATATCGCACAAAAACCAAAGTAACATTGAGAACACAGTCTTAAACCATCAAAGCACTGTTGCCGTGATTATATCTTTACCCAAGGCTGTTATGCAAGAAATAATAGATGATTTTCCCCTCTGTGATGTGGTTGTGTTGCTGTTACATAGAATCAGAAACCTGAATAGGAAATAGATATCGATCCAGTAGATTCAGTATATGCCGAGACCACCAACCAAGTATTTGTTGTAGATTTTTTCTTGGTCCTGATAGTGAATCATTTCGCAGTTCAGTGTGCAAGAGACCCATGAAGTCAAGAGATTTGGTCCCTTTTTCTGCCAAACTTAACCAACTTTACCTTTGGTCAGATGAGTCAAAACAGTTTGGAAGAAATTCTGCTATTCTGCTGACAACTTAATATCATCTTATCCCAGCACATTGAGTTAACTCACCATAAAATTTTGTTGAAGAGGAGCCCAACAGTACATGCAAGGAATTGGCTTTAGGTCTTTCATCATCCGCAGTGAACATGTTTGGGGAGGAAAGTTGACACCACTGATTACTTCGCACTGAAACACAGCAGTTATATACACTAACTGATTTAACATGACCAGTTCATCATTAAACATGTACAGTAGGGGATAAAAATATCATTTATACTCATCCTGACTTATTGCTTAGCTCTTCTCATTTCCAAATGTCAATTGCTTCTTGTTTATCTCTTGTCATTTCCGAATGTCACCAGCTGGTCACATGCTTCCGGTGGGCACGACCAAGGCTGGGTGGGCTGTGTTTGGGTGAGATGTTTTTCTGTTCTTGGGGGACACAGGCAAGAACAGAAAAAACATCTCACCCAAACACAGCCCAGCCTTAAATGTGATACGCTAACAGTTCATAGTCATCTGAGATGAGATGTCAGAAAACGACTGATAAATCCCAAGCTAGAGGCCGCAATTTCTTGGTCTGATCGGCCAACTTGAAGGAGCACAACAGAAACTGAAGTTCAGGCACTATGGGGATATCTTGAAGCCAGTAGAAGTGGATGTTGTTGTTGAACCTGGTGGCAAACAGGTCTATGTCTGGGTTGGTGATCTGAAGGCAGATTGCCTGGAAGATCTGAGGGTCAAGTTTCCATTCTGTCGAGGATGGATGGTTCTTCACCCCCAAGATGTGAGAGCTGCTCTTGCTGTGATGCTCAAAGTCGATCAGAACTTGAGTGTCCAGTCTGACAGGTGAGAAGACCCTGTCGACCCCCGACAATTGATGTACCACACCACAGTGCGTTGTCCGATCGCACAAGAAGGTTAGTTGATCATAGACCCCAATGTGTGATAGCCAGAATAACCGTCTTGAATTCACTAGCACTACCTTGAAACTCAATGTGACATGTCTATTCTACAGGGGACCATAGCCTTGCCACCTGATGATCAAGAAGATGAGCTACCCATCCGCGTAGTGAAGCCTCTACATAAAGGTGATGACTTAGAGTGCACGGCATTAAAGAGACTTCGCCTCATCAAGCCACCAGCGTAGGTGATGATAGAGCAATGAGGGTAGAGTGATCAGTGCTCTGAGATCGCCGGTTATCAGAAACGGACGAGGAAACTGCTGTAATGGCCGAAGTTGAAGTTGGTCTGTGAGGGTGAAGGCTTGCGCTGATGTGAGAAGGAGCATCACCTCCTGCAATTGATGCAGAGTCCTCGGTTGCGTTAACACCAACGGGGTTAGGCAGTGTATCTTGGACCACCGATTTTGGGGCACAAACATCTTCCCCAGTCTGGTGTCTGACACAGCCCCTTTAAACTGTAGACTCTAAGTTGAGATCAGTTCAGACTTCTTTGGGTTGACAATCAAACCTAATCGGTGAAGTAGCTTGGTGACAAACTGAAGGTGCCGAAGAAGAAAATCCCGGCGTTCTGGGCTTGTATGCAGTCGTCGATGTAGGCCTCGAAGAAAATGCCCTGTTGATGTAGGTACTGAGTGATGGACTTCATAATACAGGTAAACAGCCATGGAGCCAGGGAAATGCCAAACAGGAGGACTTTCCACTGGTAATGGATGCCTTGGAATACAAACCGAAGATACTTGTGATGGTTGGGGTATATCATAATGTGTAGATAATCATCCTAGAGGTCGAAAACCGATCATAAAATCCCCTGGTCTGATGATTCACTGGAGAAGAGCGACAGATATCATCCTGAAGTGAGGGGGGGTGGTTGAAGTTCAGTGGCGTTGAAGCGTTTTATGTTAAAGATCAACCAGAGTTTGTCTGAATCTCTCTGGGGACCAAGGAAGATCGGGGAGTAGAAGCCGGGAGTTTCAGGCAAGGGGCCTAGAGACTCTATAGCTGACTTCCTATGGTGGAGTGAAGAACTTCTATCTGCGTTGACGAGTACAGTGTCTATTCTAGGACGCGGGATTTGCGCTGATATTTATCAAATCGCCCCTCATAAAAACAGCACAGCGCGAACTGTCGCGCATAGTAATTTTATCCTTACCTACCTTTCAAAAACCATACGTAAAAAGCTTTATATTGACAGAGAATGATTTTTAAATCGGAGTCAGCCACAGAGTCTAGTTCGATCGATAGCAACAGGAATACACACGGCAGAGTAACCTCCCTTGGTTAAATCCACTACCGGAACTGATGAAACGAAATCCCATTCACTTCAGTATGAAAATAGATAAAACTTTTCAATAAAATTATGATTTGATTAATAACTGATTGAAAACCTTAGACTAAAATCTCTAAACACATTGCATATTGTATATTGCTTTCAAGACACAGTTTCCTCGATCTTTTTAAGAAAATCAGTTCGTTTTAGTTTCATTTTCGAAATCAAATAATATTATCACTTGAAGTAATGCAGATGACAAATGTAGATGAATTTTTGTATTTACAACAGTTTGTGGTAATTTGGCATGAATAATGTCGCGCAAAAGAATGAAAATAACGGATTTTTTTGCACAAAGTACCATTGAGAAAGTGACAACCACGTCTTCCCAGACCGATACGTCTGTTACAGGGACGTGTGAATCGAAGGGCGAGCAAAACCCTGAGACCGAGCCCGATCCCTCCGACTCTAAAAAGATGAAATGGTTGAAAGAATGGCCATGGCTCTCTCAAAACGAGCTTGGTGCGATGTTATGTGACTATTGTAGCAAAAATAAAATGAGCAATAGTTTTACTGGTGATGGCTGCAATAACTTTCGTACATCCACACTATCTAGACATGCACAAACCAGTGACCACCAGCTTTCCCTAATAGCTATGACGAAGTCGCAAACCACAATAGAGGCTTCTGTGTCTAATTTAGTATCCAATGAGGAATTAGTGTTAAGTCTGCTATTGACACAGTATATTGGCTTTGCAAGGAAAACATTGCTATTGAAAAGTATGGTTCTCTGTTAGGATTGTTGGAGAAGGAAGGCTGCACCAATGTTAAAAATCTTACTGTTGGGGGTAATGCCACATACAGGTCACGGTCTCTTGCTGAAGACATTCAGGAAGCAATTGCGAATACAATCATGGCTCAAATAATTGGAGATTTAAAGGATGCTTAGGGACCGTTCATAATTTATGGCTTGGGGGGGATGATGATGATTTTTATGGAGAAGCATGTACAAAGTTAAAGACCCCCCCTCCCTTCCCATAATTTCTAAGCATATGTTTAAACATATTTTCATGTACAAAATTGCTGACCCCCCTAGTACATGTGTACATAAGTGCTGACCCCCCACCCCCACCCCTAGCTCGACAGAACAGGGAAATTGTGACTTAGGTGAAAAGGGAGCAGAAACTCCTTGCAATTTTCAATGACATTGTGTTGATGTGAAACAGATTCTGTGTTTTGGATCTAATGGTGCCAGTGTTATGACTGGATCTATAAATGGTGTAGCAGCACAGCTTAGAAGATCATCCCCATTTCTTATCAACATCCATTGCGTTGCACATAGACTTGCATTATGTACAAGCCAGTCTGCTGCCAATATTGACGTTATGCAACAGTACAAAACTACTCTCACAAACCTGTACTATTATTTCAAGGGATCATCAGTTAGAAGCAGCAGACTAGCTAGGCTACAGGAACTGCTCAATAAAGCCTCATATCAAAGTAAGAGAAATGCATGATATAACATGGTTCAGCTTCTATAATGTGTTGGAAGCTATCTACAAATCCTGGAACAGCCTGGTTATATATTTTCAATCAACTGAACTATCAAGGGATCCAAAAGCTACAGGTCTTTTGAAGCCAATCACTAACTTCAAGTTTGCTGCACTGACCTGGAACCTTATGGATGTAATACCAATGAAAACTGAGCTTAATTTGGTGTTGCAAAAAGACAGTTTGGATGTTGCATCACTGAAGCCAGTGGTTGCCAGTACAGTTGATAAACTTCAGTACCTGGAAGAAAATGATGGACATTACAGACAAGAGTTCCAGTCTCTGTTGACAGATGACAATCACCTCTATGGGCACGAACTGAAATACAAGAAACAGCAGGAGATAGTTGTGAAGTCAACCATGACAACCTTTATTGGGAAACTGATAGAAAATCTTAACACAAGATTCCCCCCTGAAAGTGTTACAGTGATTTCATCTTTTGATGTGTTGGCATTCAGGGACTTGTCATTTGTTCCTGAAACAACTCTTCAAAGTCATGGTAAGGGAAACTAGATGTGTTGATCTCTCAATATGGTAGCCCTAAGGGTGATGTGCCCGCCCTCATCAATGCAGGGTCAGCTAAACAAGAATTTGATCTGTTCAAACGCCTCCGGATTCAGCAGAAGTATCCAAGAGACAAATTCCATGAATTATGGAGATTCATTGATGGCTGTCACAACTGTTAACGTATTTGTACGTATGGGTGGCTGGAGAAAAGGAGAGTAATTTTGCGTGAGAGGCATGTGCATGCGCAAGGTGTGTCAGGGAGGTCAGTGAAGAACCATGTGCCGGCCGGCGTGGTTGTGTTGATGTTAACTCAAGCGAGAGGAATAAAGTACATGTCCTGGCAACTTCGCCTCGGTGTTTTATTACCACGAGTCATACTTAACATGGTAGCAGAGCGTGGTTGATAGTTCCCAGGCCAGTGACAGGGCAATTACAGTGAAATAGCGAAGCGAAGTGTCTACCGAAAGAAAATGGCGTCTGGAAATTACAGAATTCCCCCAGCGTTTCTCGACGACAAGCCTTACAGTCGATGGGTGGAAGAAGTGAAAGTGTGGCAAGCAGTCACAGACTTGGCAGAAGATAAACAGGGTGCGGAAATAGCTCTTTCACTGCCAGAAACAGATAACATTCAGGACAAAGTGTTTAATGAACTGGGAGCGGCGAAACTTGGTGACAAGGATGGGGCGAAATTACTTCTTGCGTTTATGGATGGAATCTACAAGAAGGATGAAATCACGGCAGCGTATGGAGGTATATGGTGACTTTGATAGATTTAAAAGAACACAAAATATGAGTATGGAAACGTATGTTTCAGAATTTGAAAAAGATTATGACAAAACTAAGAAGTTTAATATGATACTTCCAGAATCAGTGCTAGCTTTCCGTCTGCTTGACGG